TTAATAATCAAAATCAGTATTAATTTAAAAGAATTTTTTTTGTTCTTAATTATTTTTTTTTATCTGTAAATACAATTTTTTAATAATATTAAAACTTAAAGGTGAAGGAAATAGTCTAATTGCACATTTGAAAACATCGCGAAATGTTGATTTACAATATTATATTTTTGTTTCTGATGAAAGTTCCTTGTAGTACAATGTATAAAATTATAACTTTGTTATCTGTTAAACTTTATCAAAAATGACCAAATCAGTATAATTTTTTTTTTATATAGATGCATGTCTTTATTTATCATTTGGTTTTTTTTTTTATAAATCTAACCCTTTACCTACCCACAAGAGGGATTCAAAATAATAACTTTTTTTTTTTTAGTTAAAGTAAATCATTAAAATTAATTCAGTTCTGGATATTTCAATAGTAGAATCTTTTTAAATATCAAAAATTACTTAGAAATGATTACTATGATTTCTATTTAAGTGTTCTATTACGATAAAAATGCAAAAAATAATGAGTTTTTCTGATAAATTTACAATAAATAATAATTATAAAACTTTCTGACTGCATATTAATCTTAAAAATAACATTGTTTTAATTCTCATAAAATTTTCTATTTAATGATTTATTCTAGTCAACGAAGGTGTAATTTTGGAGAATAACAGAAAAAATTCCTAACCAAATTTTATTTTTTTTAAAGTAGGAAATTGGTGGATTATTCCAAAAGCAACATAAACTCTTATTTCTTTAATTATATCCTGATTAGTAGTTCTTTGATTTTAAAATATAATATATGAATATATACTAATTATAATTATTAAATTTTATATGAATTGATATTCAATAATTTAATATTGTAATTTAAACGGAGAAATTATAAAAATAATAAAGAAGTTATATTTTGCTTTACTTTTACGTGTATAAAAATTTAAAGGGCTTGATACAATAATTTTCAATAAAAACTGTTTGTTACTATAAAAAAATGCACTGGACTACAAGGAACTTTCATCAGAAGCAAAAATATACTTTTCTAAATCAACTTTTCGCGTTGTTTTCAAATCTGCAAGTAGACTTTTTCTATCACTTCTATTTTTTTATATTATTACTATATATATATAAAATAATAATTAAAAGAAAAAAAAATTTGTTTTCAAATTATTACTGATTTGATTTTTAATATGTTAAAAATAATCATCCAAATTTTCAATTTTAACCTATTTTTTTGGTTCTTTAAAGTTGATGAAAAATTTTTGATAAAGATTTATGAAAGTTTAAAGTAAAAAAAAATGAATATATTACCATAACTTTTAGCTCAATCACAAGTTTAAAATTGACATCTAGGCCAGTCAACAAAGGAAAAATTGCGGAAAAAAATTCCCAACCAAATATTGTTTTTTTAAAAATTGAATTAAAATATGTATAATGACATACTTATAGTCCTCATTGCTTGGAATTGAGCTTTTTTTTTTACAGCCTCGCAAAAGTTCAAAAATATGAGCTTTTTTAATTTTCTCAAAAAATATTTAACTTACAAAAAAAAGTTTCGTACAAAAGTTGTTTAAAAGACAATTCTCAACAAAAAATTATGTTATATTTTTTTATTTAAACAAATATTTTTCGAGTTACATTACATTTAATATGAATACTAAAATTTATATTCCATTTTTTTCATTTTACGGTTACTTTTTATCATGTTACACTTACGTTAGACACAATGTTATAAATGCATATGTGTGTATGTGTCAGTTTATTTATTTATTGTATCATTAAAGTGTAGTGTATATTAATATACAAGCGATAGAGTAGGTAATTGATTTGACGCTATATTATTTAAACCCAACTAAACGCTAAATTGTACATTCCGAAACNGACACTATATTGTTTAAACCCAACTAAACGCTGAATTGTACATTCCCAAACTACAATAAAGAATAAAATTGATTCATGCATTTTTTAAAATGTTATAGCAACATAATGTTAAAAAATGTAATATCAAGAATTTTTTCACAAAAATAGCTTATTTTTGCATACGGTAGTCATTTTCACCATGAAGACAAGTCCAGAGGTCAAATTTTTTTTTTCAAATTAAAGTATATTACATTAGCTTTAATTTAAGGTATATATAAAAGTGTCAGTCTTTCCGGAACATTTTCAAAAGTTAAAAGTTGAAAAAGTTAATTTTTTGTAAAAAAGTAACCATTTTGAAACCCTTCCTGTGGGCTGTTAAAGGGTCAAATGTTCACAAAAATATATAAAATGATAGGTAGATATCTAAGGTATCTATAAAAAAAAAATTATATTATTCGGTCATTTCTAAAAAAGTTATGGCAATTTTAAGTAAAAAAAATTGATAAAATTTCAAAAATTAGCGATTTTTTAATTAGAAATTTTTTTTTGAGATTTTCCTCATTTACGGGAAACGAGGGATATATTTTCAATTTTTGAGGGTAATGTCTTCAACTAGATACGATTTGTGATCTTTGACATATTATTCATCAAAATCGGTTCAGTAAGAGCTGAGATTGAGCGTATACAGACACAAAAAAAAAACACATCATAGTAAAATTAATACCTTCTCAGCTTCTCATTGAAGCTAAAATTAATGGTAGTTTTCTGGCCTAATATAATTTATTTTAATTTTATAATCACATATTGATAATCATCTATTTTGAATTATCCATTAGTTTTTAGTAAATAAAACAAATAAATTACATAGATTTTAAATAATCTTTTACTAAATAAAGAATCGTATTATGAGTATTTTGCAATCAATAGTAAGAAATACCTTTCAAGCTAGCCAATCCAGTAGAGCAGCAGCAAGTACCATGTTAAATAAATTCGGACACGTAAATAAAATCAACTCAATTTCGTTACCTAATAAAATTTCAAGACAACTGTCATGCTGTAAGGATAAAGTTGACTATACGAAAGCGTGCAAAAAAAATGTGCCTAAAATTTCTGATCCTTGTCCAAGGCCAGGAAATCCTTGCTGCCCTCCTCATACTACACCACCGATTTGCGGGAAAGCAATTTTTTCTGACGTCCAACCAAAGTTAATGAGGTACCCTGATTGCGGTTGTGATGAAAAAGAACCACCTTGCCCTTGCTTGTACGCATGTCCACCTACATGCACTGATCCCGATAGATGTGAATATTAATGGAACAAAAAAACACACTCGAATATTTTTTTTCGACTATAATATTACAACTATTAATGAATTAATGACCGATTGTTATTATCAATTTTATTCTTAATAACGGGATAAGCCATAATTAAACATTATAAAATATTTAATAAAATAAATAATTTTATTAAATAGCAAATATTTAATTAACTTAATATATCTGTAGTCTAAAATGTAACAATAGGTTGAACCTAGTTTGTATGAATAATTATTTACTTATAAATACGATATCCCCACAAAAACATAATTGTAAAAAAGGGACAAGTTTTAAAATACCCCTCTTTAAAAAAAGTTTATCTGACAAATTAGTGATATCTGAATTGTGGGCAAGTATGTACTTTTATTAATTTATAGACACATTTCACACATATTTCTATGAGCAATACTGCTTTTTTATTTGTTTCATTTAACATCACGTCAGTTTTTGGCTATTTATAAGACCATTAAATTTCCATACATAATTTCTATTAAATTCAAGGAGAAAATTTTTTCCTCCTTCCCATCACCAACATAATACCTAAGTGAGTAATGAGTTAGTGTAATAGATATTTAGCACTTATAATTTTATTTTATTTATATTTTTATATTGTTGACTTTTCTAATAAACCACATTATTATGGAAGATGTTAGATATAAACACCAATACAAATATGAAACATTAACTCAAATTAGTAGAATAATAGATTGCGCATAGGTCTATTCAAGTTTACTTGATTAGCCAATGAGAAGGATTTTGAAATTAAAATATAAAACATTAAGTCTTCCCCTCATAAAACAGGCCTATAAAAGAGCGATATTTAGCTTATTTACCACCTTATTTTTTCTAAAAATTTGGTCATGAAGCATCTCTGCACCAGAATGTTTCACGATTGTGCTCTCGCTGACTTAGAATTTTTTTTTACACTTGGTGTTTATTATCTAAATCTCTTATAAGTAATGTAATTTAAAAAAAGTAACTTAACCTATTTATCTTTTTATTTTTTTTAGTTTTAAATATTTATAAATTATTAAGACAATAAAATTTTTATTTTTTTATTTTGTGAGTTGTTCCAATTAAGAATTTTTTTTAATTCTTCAATTGGATTGTCTATTTAATAAATGCATTTCAAAAATCTACCTTAGCACATCAAGTGGTTAAAACTGTTGGTAAAACAATGGTTTATGGCATGTCACTAAGGAGATTGTAGAGTGTATCTTAAATTTAGATAGATAAGTGTTTGATTGATTGCACAAGATGCTGATGGTCTGTTAAAATCATTACCCTAGAACATCAAGCGGTTAAAACTGTTGATAAAACAATAGTTTAAGACGTGCCACTAGGGATTGATTCTCATCTGTCATGCTCTTTTCGGCAAGTAGTTCTAGATTCTGTAAGGTCCGTGCATCGACGAGTATATCTCCGATGGTGTAGCCAGCCTGTCTCTAACTCTGTCGACTCTCATATCAAATACACAATTCTATAAAATACTGATAGTTTATTGAAGTCATTACCCTAGCACATCAAAAGGTTAAAACTATTCGTAAAACAATAGTTTATGACGTGTCACTAGGGATTGGTTCTCATAATCTATCTGGTTTTGTAAATTGTACATTTTCAACAACAAAATATCGGCTATTTCGAAGTTCTGAACTTTTATCTAAATCAATACATTTTTAACATATCATGATTGTATTTAAAATTAATTTAAATTATAATATTTTGAGTTATATTTTCCGGCTATACAAAATTATTTGATAAGTTATAAATAAACGTAATTATTTTTTATTTTTATTGATAGTAAAATGAGACCAAATCGATAAAAATTTTTTTTTTATATATAATGTCCAAAAACAAACAACGATTATATTTTTTTGATTTTGTTGCCAAAAGTATTGAATTTTCACCAAATTATATCTACTCCGGTAATATTGCCTTGGATATTCAATTTTTAAACTATGACGATAAAAGAATTTTCAATCGTACTGTACAACATTCGTCAAATCCATTACAGCTAAATGAAGGCAGATCATTCATGTTTGCACTCAATCGAAAATTGGCATCAGTTGTTGCTGAGAAATTTATTATTCAAGCTACCCTCCAAAAATTGTACCCTTCTGCACAGATATTATCGACGGTTTATCTGAATCTGACGGATTACTTTAAAACTGTTTTTAATAACTTCAGCCCAAAAATTCAGGTTTGTCTAAAACATTTTATTTTTTAGTTAATCAATCAATATTGATTTTTCAGATAAAAATGAATATAAAATTTGATAATGATAATAGTGATCACGTAGCTGACATTTCCATTTTTATACGATTGTATACTTTAGGCCCGAATGTCGTTAATGAATTTGCCTTAGATGGAAATGCTGGTAAACAATTTTCTTTTGTAACGACTAACTGCAAAAATTGTCCAAATATACCAGACGCACAATTAAAAAATATACCTTCATATAAAGGAAATAAAAATGACGATGAAGATTGGAAAATTGTATGTGCAGAGCTGAATGGTCAAACAATTGCCATTAAATACAGAAAAAGTCAATATAATCTCGAAACTGGTATACCTCAAGAACAATGTAAAAATAAATTAGCACCAGAGTCAACAAGAAGTGAAGAAAAATTAAACACATACTTTTTATCTCTAATGGAGGAAATGCATAATATAGCTACAATGACAGCACTAACAACCTCTACAACACCGCTTGCATCTTCTGAAGAATCTATACAAACTGTCAGTAAATATAGAAAATCACAATCTCATCCAAATTCTAATACTGATATCAAAATTAATGCAAAAAAAAAAAACAAAATTAGTATTACCTAATCTATTAATCCAATCAAATAATTACCGTGTAAAGGGCTTAAGTAATCATAACAATAAACAAAATTTACTTAATTGCGCATTTTTTTACGATTAAGTACATAGATATATTTAGAAAAATGAAACTTTATTATTTTAGCTTTGATGCGGATTTGAAATGAAACCAGTTTCAAACGGTTAAATCCGATTTTTATGCGTTTTTTTATAGAAAACCAGAATATTATTTGTATTTTATGCCAACCTAGGAAAATTATAACAATTGGGAAATTTTACTAAATATTTTCAATAATTTTCTGTAACTATATATAAATAAATCAATAATAGATAACTGCAAGCTATCTATATTTAGTTTTTGTACTTCGGCATCACAAGGTAATAAAATAGATCAAAAGAAAAATAGTTTCTCAATTTTACATTATAGAATTATATTGATCTGAAGTTAAATATCTCTGAATTAAACTTATTTATACAATCATAACATAAAGTATTTTTATTTTTTTATTTGATTATGCTAATTAAATTAATTATATTTTATTTATTTCAAAAGTATTAAGACACATTTAATTCTCTGTTTTTAATAATAATATTTTATTAATTTTTATTTTAAAAAAATATGGTCAATTTCATGTAATCATTAGTGAAAAATATTGTTTCATACACAATAATAACTTGGAAAAACCCCACTCAAAATATATAACCGTCTTTACAAGTTACGGTACTTCGAAGGTGTCATTAAAATCTAATTTTTCAATAGAGACTACCGCCGACTAGTTAAACTGATGAATCGTGGAGAATAAAAAAGTATGATAGTAAAAAACTAAAAAACAATATTCATCGTTAGTATATGACTAGCATAGGGTCAGGAGGGGTAATTGTGAATAGGGGTAATTGTAAATGAGGTTGGTATTCTAATAAAATAAATAAATTATAACCATTGAACTCGATAAAATTATTATTTAATATTTTTTCTCCCATGAATCATATTTATTACAGCATTTAAGAGGTTATGTCAATTGTATTATCATTTAGAAAAAATATTCATTTTCAAATGCCCCATAAATAATTTGATGATTACCTTATAGCTTGAAACTGTTCATTTATATTTACCCCAATATCAAAGAGTAATGGTAAATGTGGGGTAAATGTAAATTACGCTTTTTTTAGGTTTGAAATTAAAAATTTACTAAAACTACATTAAAACTATATTTATTATGTCCACTAGTACATATATTGTAACGTGACAAAAGTATCTATTTATTTTTTTTGTCTATTTGTATATACAGGGTGTTCAGTAAGTCAGGAAACGGGTTTCTATTGTTCTCATTGTTNGTTCAGTAAGTCAGGAAACGGGTATCTATTGTTCTCATTGTTACAAACAATGAGAACAATAGATACCCGTTTCCTGACTTACTGAACACCCTGTATATTTGTGTTGAGCCGAATGCGGAATGCAACGGCGTTTGTCGGTAAAATTATCATGATAAGATGTTGTGATTTGTTTATGCGCGTGTGAGATAGTCAGCTGTGTACTACTTCAGACCGGTTCATGGACGGCATTTGTGTGTACATTCACCCCGCTCCTTTCCTATCTTGAACGTCATTTGCACTGCTCACCGCATATAATGTCGCCATATGATTTAAATTGTTTTTAATAATTTCCAGCACTGGGTATTTAGTTATTTTTTGATACCTACTCTAAAGGCTAGCCGTTTGGTCGCCAACGGACCGCCGCACAGTGGAATGAAACGCCGATTTAGGCGGCCAAAAGTATCATTTTTCAAAAGTCACTTAAATTTTTTTTTTTTAGCAAAACACATTAATATCATACTTAAGGGTTACAATACAAATTTTCAAGGGCATAAAAATCGATTTTTTTCGTTTTTTTCTCTAGTTTGTTCGTTTAAAGAGATTAACTAAAAATTACGCAAAATTACACGTTAATCCATACATGTGGCTTGTAGAGCAAGTCATCAGCTACACTATGAAAAAAAAAAATTTTGCGCTCGATAATATTTGAACTGTACATACTGCATTTACTTAGAATAAACGAGTATTTCCCTAAAAATCGTATGTTTTACAGGATTTTTACTCTATAAATAAAATTAGTCATTATTTATTATGACAACTATAAAGAAGATGAATTAAATAGTCAATTAAATGATTNTTATTATCATTGTTATACGATTACATTGATATATAAATATGAATATTTTAGTTTTATACATATAAAAAATAATTATGCCATTGATAAATTTATGTCTGAAAATGAATCATTTAATTGACTATTTAATTCATCTTCTTTATAGTTGTCATAATAAATAATGACTAATTTTATTTATAGAGTAAAAATCCTGTAAAACATACGATTTTTAGGGAAATACTCGTTTATTCTAAGTAAATGCAGTATGTACAGTTCAAATATTATCGAGCGCAAAATTTTTTTTTTTCATAGTGTAGCTGATGACTTGCTCTACAAGCCACATGTATGGATTAACGTGTAATTTTGCGTAATTTTTAGTTAATCTCTTTAAACGAGCAAACTAGAGAAAAAAACGAAAAAAATCGATTTTTTTTTAAGTATAAATTTGTTAAATTCCACATAAATAAAAAAAACCTTTTTTTTCTTTTTCATTTGAAAAAGGATATCTTTTTTAATAGGAATAACAAAAAAATTTTTATTTTAAATTATGTTTTAAGGCATAAAAAAAATGTACAAAAATAAACTCAAAATTACTGAAAATACGGATAAATTTTAGAAGTATAACATTAAAATAGCTCTACACCTTCACTAAATCAACTTATGCCCTTGAAAATTTGTATTAAAACCCTTAAGTATGATATTAATGTGTTTTGCTAAAAAAAAAAAATTTAAGTGACTTTTGAAAAATGATACTTTTGGCCGCCTAAATCGGCGTTTCATTCCACTGTGCGCCGGGTCAAACGTCGGACGGGTTGTCGGGGAATAGCCATAGTCGGAACTGGTCGCACTATTTCCCGTCCGTAGCGTAATTTTTTTTTTATTGTTGTGTGCGCTGCAACATTTTAATTTTATATATATTTTTTGTCGTGAGTGCCCGCTATTGTTTATACAATGTGATTTTTTTATTGGCGTCGGTTGAGCCTGCCTCATTTTCTGTAGCCCTTAGGGGCTGGTAATGTATATTTTTGTTTTAATGTTGTTGAGCCAGAATTTTTTTTAGTGCGCCGTGCCATAAGCACGTGTGGCGAATTTTTTTTATATTTTTTTATATAGTTTTTCTTGTATAGGTGCCCTTATTTTTATTTAGGTCCCTCAACATGGCAGGCGTGTTCCAATACCACCTGTCATGTTTAATATATTTTTTTATAGGTTTTATAATATATTTTATTGGGTGATGAACAAATTATTGGTACAATGTGGTGACGTAGTGCATTTTATTCCGGGGTGTCCCAACGTCTTGCAAGCTAAGCCTAACTGCCAAAAACCAGTCGCTTACTTGGGACGTATACCCGCCGTGCTTAGCGGCAATGCTGCGATTAATAGCCGGCGGGTACCCGAAGACGTTCATCGTATTCTCTAATAATAAAAGTGTAGGTGTAACTAGTTTTTTTATTAATATCTGTTTTTTTTTTTTTCTTTCTTTGTCCCCTTTAATTTGTAGATGAGGTTTTTTGACCATTCGGTTTTTTGCCTCGTAGTAACTTAATTTTTTTTGTTTTTTTTTTACTTAATAAAGTCCCCTTAATTTAACTTAACCATCAGATTTTTCTTCTTTTTTGCGTGTTCCATCTTCAATGGACTCGTGTATTTTTTTTCCTTTCAAAAATCAACTCCCCTAGTTTATAAGGTACGGGCAACGGCCTTCTATAAGGCCATCCCTCATTAATATGGTTATGTGACAACTGTCACGAGGTTTTGGTGTACATCTACTATCAACGACTCAACGGACATCAACTTTAATATTTATTAATTATATATTTTTTTCTAATTGTTTTAATATACAATAGTTAATTTTTTTAAAATCCTANAAAATATCCTACTGTGGTCCGACAATATACTGTCTCGCCCAGTAGGTTGGCGACCATTTACTTATAACTTTGTAAAACGCCATGAAAGCTACAAATTTTTCGTTGCGACCAATTAATTTGATTTTTATATATTTGTAACCCTTCAATATATAATAATATAATAAATGTTTATGTAAGTAAACAGTCATAAACACAAGTTAAAAATCACTTTGATAGAATCATTGACAATTACCCTACCTGACCCTACTTAGTTCCGTAATCACTCAGATTTTTATATGTTTATTCTTAAATTAACGCAAGGCCTCATACAATTATATCAAAAACACCTCTATGATCAAGGTTCTTGGTCACAATGACTATGAAGTGGTGCTATAGTTGTAGAGTTGTGTAATGATTTTTATTTTTTTTGCACCTTTCATTGTTATTCTATTTACTCATTGAATAAATATACGTTATTGTGTTAATAATGTTCATGACATTCTATCACACGCAATTGTTTTATAAAAACATTTTTGTGCGTACAAATTTTAAGTATACGAATAAATATTTTAATTATTAAAGTTCATTCAAGTCGTTTTAAACATTTTACTAGTTCCATTTAAATTTACTTTTATGATAGTAAACACGTTTCAATGGTTTTAGTGAATATTTACTGGGGTAAGAGTCTATACGAAAACTAAAGCCCAATATAAATTATTTATTTCAATATTTTACAGTTATGAAAATATCAAATCTTGGATTATATTTTCATGTTTCTTTAGTTATTACAAAATCAACGAACTAAAATTGAATACATTATAAAGATCATAAGACATTTAGTACTTTCATGTTATATTTCACTCTTTAACAATACTATTTTAAGTTAATAAAACACTTTTATAAGAATTGATATTTCTTTGATTAGATATAGAATATTTTAGCTTCGATGCAAAACTGAGAAGGTATTAGTTTTATTATATGTGTTTTTTATATTTGTTTTTGTCTCTGTTACCACTTTTTCTTAGCTATCACCGAACGGATTTCTTTCAACGATATATCAAAAGATCACAAATTGTATCTAATCGAAGACATTACCCTCAAAAATTGAAAAAATATCCCTCATTCCCCGTAAATGAGGGAAATCTCAAAAAAAATTTCTAATTAAAAAATCGCTAATTTTTGAAATTTTATCAATTTTTTTTACTTAAAACTGCCAAAACATTTTCAAAAATGAACAAACCAATACAATTTTTTTATATAGATACGTGAGATACTCTAAGATTTTGTATAACTTTTTTATAAATCTAATCCTTTACCTGCCCACAAGGGGGGATTCAAAATGACAACTTAACTATTGAAAGTCTTCCGGAAATACTGACACTTTTATATACATTTTAAATTAAAGCTAATATAATATACTTTATTATGAAAAAAAAATTTGGAATTTCATTTTTTATTCATGGTAAAAATTGCTACCGTATTTTTGTGTTAATTTTGTATTTTATTTTATTTTATTTTAAAATACCTTACAAAAGTGTTTGAGTTAAGAATACATTTTTAAATCATCTGAATTTTATCTTATTTAGATTCAATAACTTTAATAAATATCAAGGACCCCATCACTGTAGTTTCACTTTGATTGTTTTTTTTAGTTAATATCACTAAAATGATAACTCAAAGGACGCTAAAAAATAACATGGCCGCCGGTGATTGACGGCCGGTTTTAAAAAATGTACCCGAAATNATTTGGAATTTCATTTTTTCTTCATGGTAAAAATTGCTACCGTATTTTTGTGTTAAACTTTTTAATTTTGTATTTTATTTTAAAATACCTTACAAAAGTGTTTGAGTTAAGAATACATTTTTAAATCATCTGAATTTTATCTTATTTAGATTCAATAACTTTAATAAATATCAAGGACCCCATCACTGTAGTTTCACTTTGATTGTTTTTTTTAGTTAATATCACTAAAATGATAACTCAAAGGACGCTAAAAAATAACATGGCCGCCGGTGATTGACGGCCGGTTTTAAAAAATGTACCCGAAATCGTGTGAAAAAAAGAGGCACAGTACGGGATTAGAACTCGTGACCCTAAGCATCTTAAAGACTAACCTTACTACTAGGCCACCGTATTCTTATGATTCAGATCCCGATACACTTTCATTTAGGTTGATAACATGATGTACAGCTGAGCGAAATATGATACCGTGTCACCAGCAGCTCAAATATCTGTCCTCTATGATGAACAAGTATATTTAATTTAATTCTCTTTCTTTAAAAGTTACTAAACAAATGAAGATATTTGATGTTGTTACTCCTATAAGGGTGTAAATTTCCAGGGCTTAATCATTAAAGCACAATGGCTTGAAAATTGAATTATTCCTTATATTTAGTAAATAATCAGTTAAAAGGATTATGTACTGTTTTGTGTAATGATATACTTTAAGTGGCGTGTTTAAGGACTAACTCCAAGGATTTTTACATGCAATACTTATAATTATGGATGTGATTATTGTAACATTAAAGTGAAAAATATATACATCGCATAGTTGATAAATATTGCTACAGACGAGTTTGTGAATGAAAATTTTACTGAACCGCTTCTAGAACAAAAAGAATATTTGAGAAAAGAGAGAGGTTTTTCGTCGAATACGCTGATAAGTACATGTCTTTCGAAGTAGCTAGTTATTTATCTCTCCCTGAAGAAACTGAAAGTAGATATATAATTATCAATTTAAAGAATATAGAAAATAATTGCATAATTTATAGAGTAATATCCAAGATNAATTTCAGAAGAAACTGAAAGTAGATATATAATTATCAATTTAAAGAATATAGAAAATAATTGCATAATTTATAGAGTAATATCCAAGATTATAGACTATCCAAATGCTTTACTAATGACTATTAAGTAAGATAATCTAAAAAATTCAGGTCATAGATACACTTTCTCTGATTTAACTATGCTGATATCTTTTGATTTATTTTCGAATTTTAAGTACAAAACTTTGATATATCGGTGATTGTCTATGGATTAAAAAGATTATCCTACATTTAAAAACAGGAAAAAAATTTCGACTTCTGAAAGAAGAAAAAAACTAATACTACCATTAAAAGTTTGTGACAATGAAAAAACTGATGATTTTAATTTTTTAACTATAAGTAACAATAAAGGTATATTGTTTATAACCGATTTATTTAAACTGATCAAAACTCAAGAGTGTTTAAAAAATGGCAATATGTAGAAAATGTATAAAAGGTTACAATTCTAAGTCCAANATATGTAGAAAATGTATAAAAGGTTACAATTCTAAGTCCAATAAGTCTAGCAAAGAAGACTTACTACGTCAATATAAAGAAGAATGTTGTGTTAACTAATCAATAACTTTTCTTATGCACAAACGTGATACATTAACCAACTTAGAAAATTCAGTGAATACAAAGTAGAAACTAATCTGATAAATCTAATTAACTATTA